CTGAGTAATTGTCATGATCTTTACTTTATTATTGTTAACCAAGTTAGTTGTAAAGCGGTTGTAAAGAAACTACGAAATGATATCATCTCGCGAAATTTGTCTCCTTAATGCCTTATTTAAATTTATCAAAGGGACTAATTTTTTAATTTTCCACATTATTATCATTATGATTTGATTTGATCCACAAAATCACCGTCATTGTTTAAAAATTTTCATAAATATATCTATGCAATTTAGAGTAAAACCCGAGGAATATCTTGGTGAAAATAATATTGTTCGCTCATATGTCTTGTTCTGACATGTATATAAATGAAGGAAAAAGTTTTGTGAGTAACTTGGTATGATTATGAGCAATTATAAGTTCTCGGAACGTCATTAGTTAATATTATTGTGTAACACTGTGTGACTTATCAAAATAAAATCTTATCCATAATGAAGTTATGCTCTACCACAGTGCCCTTATACTTATATCATAAAAATTATAATCCTGTTGAAAAGAATTTTGAAGGCGTTCATGCACAATTTACACTTAAAATTAAATGACTGTTTAAGAGGAATTCATGTTCGAGGTCTATATGAGTCAGAATAATCTTTCAGACCGCTTAGCCGACAGTCACACTGTAACGCAAGAAGACAAGGGTCAGACAACAGATAGTTTATTGAGAAAATCAAGGGATACTTATAGATTTTTATATACATTATTATTAGTCATTGTCAACAGAGAAGCACCGTCTTCTGATTGTTGTTTTTTTCTGAAAGCTATTCTGTCATGTCTTTGTGGCCGTTTCTTAGAAATTTAAGGCGTATATCTGCGAGTCGTATTGGCATACGCTAGGTCTGCTGTGATTGTTTGGTGACTTCTTCAAGGTAACCTTGAGCTTTGTTATTGTTTTTTCTCGTGACCCTGATTCGGGACGTAAACATTGAAGTAAATTCATTATAAATTATTTAAATTAATCCCAGCGTGTTAAGAAAATCAAAACAAGATTTTTCTGTTTTTCTTAACACTCTGGGATTAATTTAAATAATTTATAATGAATCAATCTGACTCGGTGCTCAAATTATTCCAGGAAATTCGTAACACCTACGGTCTGGAAACTTATAATTGAAGTAAATTGTTATCTACAGTTTTGACTTGCAGACAGCTCTCACAACAATACTAAGTGTAAATGCATTGCCAAGTAAGTCAGAGCACAGAAATTTATCGTACTGTTTAACAAAGGGAATTGCAGCCTAAATCAAATATGCAATTTGCAAATCGGTTAGCGATTTGCAATCTACACAGTTTGAGCAGTGAAGTTTCACCGTAGTTTTCTTTGGAAACAAAATTATTGTGATCATAATATGTTGTATGACCAGTTCGAGGAGGTAGCTAGACAGAAATCAGGTGGTTTGAAGTGACTCGGCTCTCTGAGCTGCGTCAAACCAAGTACACTACTAGTGAGCTCAGCCGCAAACGAGTTAAACGACTGTCCGGTGTTTAGATCACTGTGATATGGCTAGAAAGCACTACAGGTTGATATAAGTGGTATGCAGCTAATCATCCCAGTCAATCAGTAGTGTATAGTTTTATGCATATTTCAGCTTAAACAAGTGCGGTGTTGTGCGATATGCTCTGTTTGTTAGTAATACATCCTAATTACTGATATCGAGACTTCCATAAGATTTAATGTTCACCGATTCTGTCGAGAGCATTTCTGCCAGAATCTCCTGATCTCAGCTAGTCTTGTAAGCTGACATGCTCAGTTACTTAAGGATATGATCACATCTGAAACAATGACGGAAATGAAACGTAATTTCAAAATGTATGGCTTCTGATTTCTGCATATCTGTCATCTGCATGATATTTCTTTTAGAATAAAGTAGTGGCGTTCAGTGAGTCGTCGAAACAAAGTATTTATAAAGTTTATACTTTTTACTCCGAAATTTCTGATGAATTAACTGATTTATATGACTAACTTTTATTATAGATCAAGCTGAATTCAGGTGTTAACAGAAACAAACGAATACCTATCAGCCATGTATTCCTAACCTGCATGACATTAACAGTGTACTCCATAGGTATGAATCAATTTCGAACCTGTGTTCGTCTAGTCATAACAGGGAAGTCCTACAGTCCGCTTTCTCAACATTTCTCACCATTCCTAATCGAGGAATATTCGTCCTCACGATCACATGTTTTTTGTGTTTTTACTGTATCACACAGAAACCATGCTTTTAATACACACATATTGCAATGTAGATGTTATATACATCGAATCCACTCTTGTAGAAGAAGTAAACCAGTGTTGATGACGTCAATCATATGTAATGAAGCATTGAGTAGTGGTAAATAAGCTATTCAAAAATAAAAAAAATGCAAACACTTTTCTAAATTCAAATGAACTGTAGTCAAGATTTGACAGAATAGTTCTAAAATATTTTGTCGCCGAATGAGAAGTAGACATTTGTAAAAAATTATATTTGTAAAATCTCAGCGAAATTGAAATGATTAATTCCAACGTTTCGTTCGTCAATCTGCTCCGAACTTCTTCAGGGAAATTAATCGAAATTAACATAACAGAGATTTATATATAAAAGCAAAAATTGTATGTGTTTAAAGTGTTTAACAAAGGTAGACTAATATTTGTAAGTTCGAGGTCAAAAAAAATTTTGATCATAGCTCATACAATTTTGTTTATTATACTTGTTAATACTTGTTTTATGACTCATGATTGGACAAAGTTTTTTAAAGACAAGAGATGTTCCTTTTGCACTTTTGCATCAGAATTTTAGTAATTACGTTCAACTAAAAGTTCATGGTCCTAGATAACTGAATGTGAAAATGCATATTTGTACATGTGAATCCAAGCTGAACTAAATTTCGCTCCTAATCTTCTAGATGGTACAATTTAAGACTATTGCATGCATATTTTTACATAAGCCTATATAGACTTTCGGAACATGTGCTGATAAAAAAAACTGAAACGTAGATGTGGTATTTCCAGTTCCCTGCGGACACATGTTTTGCAAAATAAATGTGCGCTATGTAGTGCTGTCTCCCCGCACACTACACACACACACACACACACACAAGTATACTTATAGAGATACTTAATGTATATACAGTGGAAACCATGAAATACTGATTGTAAATTAGCATTTTCCTTATATCATCAAAATGTTTCCAACTATTGCGAACTCATTGTCTCAATATTTCAAGATGCTTAGTTTACTTATATCATTTATTTCCGCTATAGAAAATACAAAAAGCATTTTAAACCTAATTTTCAGCATAGGGGAATTTTAACTTAAGACATTTTCCACTTGAAAAGAGATGCTCCGAATGCTTTTCACTACAAAGTCAACTTCAATAGTGATAATTAATAAGGTTTTTGAAAATTCGCTTTAAAGTAACAGTTAATTGCTCCCAACTTCACCAGTTTAAGGGTTTTGAAAAATTCTGAATGACAACTTCGAGGCTGATGGACGTGACTACAAGTATTTGAAATGTTTGTAATGCCTTGAGATATCCAGTTAGAGATATATTAATTTCAATTTTTTATATTTTTGATTACAGCTTGATTCCACACTGTATTTTTGGTGGAAGTATGGAATTTTCAGCATGTGATATCGGTAGCCTATATTTTGCAGGCCGACCATAGATATCAGGTGTCCGTCGGCAGGGGATCGAACCCTGGACCATGTGCATGGTCGGCAACAGTCCTAACCACTGTGTTTGACTAACATGATGAGTGACGCACTTATAGAACTGTTTTATGGAAATCTTTTAAAAAGCATATACAACAATATTCTTCATACGAACTGTGATCAAGATTTGACCGGATAGTTGCAAAATAATTGAGCACTGAGTGAGAAGTAGACATTTGTAAAAAATTATATTTGTAAAATCTCAGCGAAATTGAAATGATTAATTCCAACGTTTCGTTCGTCAATCTGCTCCGAATTTCTTCAGGGAAATTAATCGAAATTAACATAACAGAGATTTATATATAAAAGCAAAAATTGTATGTGTTTAAAGTGTTTAACAAAGGTAGACTAATATTTGTAAGTCCGAGGTCAAAAAAAATTTTGATCATAGCTCATACAATTTTGTTTATTATACTTGTTAATACTTGTTTTATGACTCATGATTGGACAAAGGTTTTTAAAGACAAGAGATGTTCCTTTTATATATAAACCTCTGTTATGTTAATTTCAATTTATTTCCCTGAAGAAGTTCGGACCAGATTGCCGAACGAAACGTTGGAATTATTCATTTCAATATCGCTGAGATTTTACAAATATAATTTTTTACAAATGTCTACTTTTTTAAATAATGGTCAGTGTTTAAATACTACATTTCATATGTTGAAATAAATCCATACCATAAATCTGCGGAATTTTAAAACTCGTATATTTTGCTTATTTTCTTCTCGTCTTAAGATAAAACGTAACTGTTATATAATAAAATTAGTATAGGAATGTAGTCTAAATTCACAAGTCCCTAAAAACAGCAGGCATTATGCGAATGACCTTTGCTATCTGCGCCTTATAAGGAATTATTCAGAAACTGTTCAGTGCGAAAACTTCCCTTTTTAAAATATTTCTCAGTAAATCTCAGATTTCTCTACACAAATGGTAATTCCTAAACACTGGTAACTATTTACCAGTTTATTGGTCTCAGTTTAAATGAATGATCGCAAATAACGCAGGAAAAAAACAGAGAAGAGTCACCAAAATAATTTACTAAGTATAAAGATTAGTTAAACCCAATTAAAAATATTTTAAAAATGTCATTTCTTGCGTTACCACTTCATGTGAATACATATATGGGTACACAGATGAAATCATGCACACAATCATGTGACTTTGAATAGATTGATTATCTGCTTTATAAAGATTATCCACTTAAGAAGCTTGAACTAAAAACCAATAGTCGTGATAATGATTGTGATTAAACGTTTGAAAAATAGAACCAGCTGAGTGGAATTAAACATAATTTTCGAATAAAAATTTAGATATCTTTTGCGAATCAGTTAGTCAAACAATCTCTGAAAATGTAAGTTTCATACATTAAATTCAGTTATCTAAATATACACTATCAAAGTTTCGCATGTTCATTGCATGTATATGTTAGAGTTTTTAACGGTTCTATTGATATACACTATGTTATCGATCAGTAGGAACAGCAAATTCACAGATAATAGCAACATCATCACAAATTCCTCAACGGTCACTTTGATTTGAAACTGATATATCCGTGTCTAAGGGAGCAGATAGCTTCTAATATCTAAAGGACAAAGTGATGTGCGATTATGTGAAATTCTGTAACAGCCTGAATGAAAGACTTACTAGGTAGCAATATTCCATGAGATTTTTTTTGAATGAAATCACCAACTGTTGACAGTACCGCTTTATGTTATCCCACTTTGCTGTTTTCATAGTTATCCGATTAATAATTAAACATAAAACAACTTCTCATGGTGAAAATTGATTCAAACTAGTGAATGTTCAAGATATATGTAAACCTTCTTATTGAGGTATGGTTTAAAAGATAAATCAAAAATTTAAGATGTTTCTATGCTTCATGATGTAAGAGAATGTTTCAGTTTTCTATATAAGCAATTCATGCTTAAAGCAGACTAGTTCGTAGGGAAAAAATCAATCACTGAGTTAAAAAATAGGAATAATACTCCCATTCTGGGTTCATCATATTCAATAAATAAACTAGTATTTACTTCTGTTTGTTTCATTAGATGGGTGTAGATTACTTATCTATTCTTGAGAAGAATTTTGACACAATAGACAGAAACCAAAATGGTTGGCTGAATGAGAAGGAAATTCGTGATTGTCTGATTTCGTTTGGATTTGATCCACACTATACCGAGGTTGGTTTGATACCTGCTCTACATTATTTATATATAGCTATGTTTCTAGTGTATTTGCTTGATATTTGCATCAACACGTGTTTAACTGATGTAGTAGTGAATATTCAGGGGTTATGGTGTGAATATTCTTATATTGTGTTCTTCAGTTTCCAATGTAGTTGGTCGATCTTTCAATCCCATTCCTACTTTCATCTTAAGTGCTGTCTCGCTATGAAGGCTACTTCACATATTTTCATGTGTATTTGTGACGATTGTCTAAGACCTAAACTACATGAAGGTGATATCAATTATCAGAAAAGGACTTGCTAACTGACTGCTTGTAAGAAGTCAATGTAATACTTTAAAATGACTACTGCATATTTCAGTATTTTAAGTGATAAATTTTTAATTCACGTTTAAAGGTAAAAGCTAAAACTCATATAACCTGCAGGCTATTAATTCATGAAAACTGCCTTTCATTCTCTATACTATTTAGTAGCATTTCTACTCTTCATAAGCATTATTGTCTTTTTATGCAGTTGATTACAGTCGAAGAACCATAAGACCACAATCGAATTTATCATAAACTCCTTTTCACTATAAAAACACACTCAAAAAGCTTGCATTCGTTTGCATTTGGTCTCTCACTCTATAAGCCCATGACGTGAATTACCCTGGAAAAAAGTCAGATATAGAGTAAAGATATATAAACATTATGCATCAGTTGAAGTACTTGGTAAGCTGCTACTCTAAGGTTTATAGACAAAGACACTAAAAATGGGTTGTGATTAAATTTACAGCTTAAGGTCACATTATATACTTATATTACATTAATTTAAATGTCACTTTTCTAATAAACCGTAGAGCAGATATCCAGTTATACTGTAGAATAAACCTATGATTTTCCGCAGGTTTGCACAAATAAAAATGTATACCTAGTCACAGAAAAGTGATTTACCTCTAAAGCTTTCAGTTAGAAAAACACAATTTGTTGAAGTAAAGGGAGAGGCCGACGCATTCCTTTACCTCGCTAAGCCAGAAATAATGCTGGTAAAGAGGAAAGGTCTGACATGAGGCTAGCAACCCCATCCTGTAAAATTAAACAGTGCTACAGAAACTTTAAGCCACTAGCTTGAAGCCCTATGTTTCACTGGGGAACGTGAAGGAAAAAAAGGGGAGTTTTAAGTCGCATTACCTTTAATATTACCTTTTGAACAAAAGAAAAATATTTCATTTCCAGCTACCACTGTCACCTAATGGATGATGTATATTATCATAGGGGTAATAGTTTAGCAAGAATATTTGTTATCTACTTTGTATCTTTTACTCTGTTTTGAAGGAGTTTATGATGAATTTTGATACTAATAAAGATGGAAGAGTAACTAAAAAAGAATTCCTTGAGGCTGCTAAGCAAATGCGGGCTGGAAAGATAACGTGAGTTGTGAAGTGTATAATACTTAAACTTAATAATTATGAATAGTGTGATATTTATTTGGTTGATGATAGTTGTTGGCGGAATTCAAGACGCTCATTTTATCTTGTTTCGGTCTCATCCACTGATTGTGCGATTCCAGTAAGTGAAACTAACTTGGCGCTGATTGTTGCAAATGCCAAAGCACGATCCATTGGGCTACTGAGTTACGGGAGTTTTAATAGATTGCAGACATTGATGTTTTCTTACTCATTGCACGTACTTTCCTGTGGCTTCCAGGGAGTGGCATTTCGCACATCCTTGATTGTAACATAGAGACAAGAGATTTTCAATCTAATAAGATGTCAGTGGTAAGAAAAATATCATTTAGGTACAGCTATTAGTGATATCTTAGTTTTATCCCATCCCTAAATTCACTACTTGAATATTTGCTTTCAACTCAATATGTACACAGGGTAACCAACCTATCATCTTTAATGACCATCTTCTGATGACTTAATGTGACGAAATCTGACAGTGGAATAGTACATGACCCAATCGTTGCTTGTAAATTTTGAAGAGGGTTGTGTGCTATGTGTATTTGCTCCGTCCCAATAATATTCCCCCTCCCCCTTTTAAATTATCCAGTTTTGCTCGCCCTTCACAGACTTGCTGTCCCATATGTATCTGGCTTTGGGTTAGACTCCATATACTCTCACTCAGTTGACTTTTACCCTGGTCTCAACCTTTTTGAGTGCATAGACTGCTCTACAATCAATCACATGATCCGGTTTCGAACATCTGTTGACTTTGTCTGGTTTAATAAATAAAAGTGATCCCGAAAAAGAGAGAAGGTAGAAAACTTAACCCTGTGAAAGGACCTCATATGTACTATGCATTCAAACTTCGTCTTTTCCCCAACTTTTATTGGTGACACATGAAATATTATTCTTACAAAAATCAAAGATGGACCAAAACTGCTTACAATATAACTTGATAAAATCTACGCGATAATTAAATGGTGATACTTGTAAGATGTGACTGAACACTCAAGAGAATTTGTTGAAGAAATGGAATCATAATAACTGATAGAGACCAAAGCGAAATGAACGTTTCGTTTAAGTCCTGAAGTTGACCTCTCTCCTATTTATTCAATGAAGAGAATTACGCGTCACTAATATTTTACTTCACTGTGAATAAACCGAACTTAAATAAAATGCATTATTGAGCTCTGAGTGGCAATGACCAAGCGCCACGGATTAAATGGAGAAAAATTTCGAATTCTACTTGGCTTTCAGCAACATCAGTCTTGAAATTAACCTTAAAATTGACAAATAAGTATTTATCATATGTGGCACAGTGGTTAGGACTCTCGCCGACTATGCACATGGTCCGAGGTTCGATCCCCTACCGACGGACACCTGATATCTATGGTCGGCCTGCGAAATTTGGGATACCGATATCCATGCTGAAAATTCCATACTTGTACCAAAAATACAGTGTGGAATCAAATTGTAAATCAATCAAAAAATAACAATAATAATTACTGACTCGTTGCATTCTAAAACAAAGTGAAGTTACAGTCACATAATGTAACAGTAAAGGTTGCCTCATACTTATCATCTGTGTTATCAGAATTGACCGCTGCTACACCTATAAACGTGTTCATGGATAGAAATAATGAAGATTTATAGTTCAAATGGGTGAAATTAGTATAGTTGTGTACTCTCAGCTGGACAGCAGAGGTTTATTTTATTTTTATAATTCCCTTTCGTTCCCAGTGGAACGCAGGGCTTCAACAACACATCTCCACGTTTCCTATCATCTGCCGTCTTCTTCAGCAGGGTCCACGATTGACCAGACTCTCTCATCGCACAATCTCTTCCATGTCACCCTAGGAAGACCCACTCCACGTTTTCTATTTGGATTCTACTCGATGGCCTAGCGTGCAGTGTCATTCGGCGGTTTCATAAATGTGTGCTCGATCCAGCTTGGGTTTCCCGTTGCTCATTCTGCCTAGTTGGCCTTCTGATCTTCACTATGGAGTCAGTGAAAGCTGCCTCAAACTGTTGAAAATCCTATTCGTGACACACAGTGCAAGTCTCTGACCCGTATAGAATTGACTGATTCTCACATTTGTGCCGAAAATCCGAGTCTCGTTCTTTATGTTACTGAGAGCAGAAGATCTCCAAACTGGTCTCAGGTTGATGGAAGCGTATGTTGCCTTTCCGATTCTGACTTTGACATCTTCATCCGTTCCGCCTGCCTGCCTGCCTGTGGTTGAAACCATGCTTCCTAGATAAGTGAAGGAAGTCACTCCTGTCAAATCTCTCCCGTTGATGGTGATTGGCGTTGGTTGGCTATCTTCATCACCTCCGTCTTCTCTATGTCCACCCAGAGTCATGTCTTCACTGCCAGCCTCTTCAGCCAGTTTGTTGGTTTTCGCTTGCAAGTCTTCGAGTTTGTGTGACATTGAACATAAATCATCCATCCGTGAAATCCAAATCCTCTAGAGTCTTTTTATCGGTCCAGTGTATTCTGTGTTCTCACTCTCGACGCACAGTCTGACGCATAATCCAGTCCACCACAATCAGGAATAACATTGGCGGTGATAGGCGGCCTTGTCTTACTCTTGTATTCACTTCGAACGCCTCGTTGGGTTTTCCGTTGTGGATCACTTGACACATGGCATCGTCGTATAGCTGTTGAGTGAGGTTGGTAGAGATTTGGGGCTCTTTACAGAATAGTGTTGAAGTAGTTTCCAAATCACTTCTCGGTCAACGCTGTCTGTCGAAGGCCTATTCAAAGTCGATCAAGCAAGTTGAGGTAGAGATTTGACTGCAATTCTATGCTTTGTTCAATGACGATGCGTAGAGTTGCATTTTGATCAGCAGATAACTTGCCTTTCCTGAATCGAGCATTTTCCGGAGACGTAGTTCTGTATGCAGCTCATCGTTTATTCTCTCCAGGATGATGCGACTCGGTATTTTACTTGGCGTGGACAAGAGCATTATTCCACGCTAGTCAGTCCTTTCCTTGCACAGGTCTAAGTCGCCCTTCGTTGGCAGTTTGACGAGGTAACCTCTCTTTCAATCAGTAGGCACCTTTCCTTCTTTCCAAACTTTTTGCAGTAATGGGGTGAGAACATCTGCCGTTATCTCTGGGGCCTTCTTCACTGCTTCGCGAACAATGCCGTCTGGTCCTGCTGCCTTCCTGGAATTCAGTAGCTGGATCGAACTCAGGATTTCTTCTTGCGCTAGAGGGGTGGTATACCCGTGTAAGCTGCTGGTGGTATTTCTGGTCGAGTTGCTGGTGGTGGTCGATTCAAGAGTCCTTTGACGTGATCAGCCCACTCTTTGATTTGTTTCCCCTCCATGTTGATTGGGTTCCCTTGAGTATTTTTTGTAGGTTTCATCATTTGGGTTAATCGCTCAGCGTAGATGTGCAGCTTCTATTGTCTTTGTCCATGAAGAATTTGGAAAGCACGTTGAAGATATCTAGAAAGACGATGAAAGGTTCTCAAATAAACTATCCAGCGCGGAGAATACAACTACGCCAATATATTCATACAGGATTGGTTAGACTGTACTGTCGCTTTACTCTCTGTGATATAGCTGAATAAAAGGTTAAATATTTTTAAATGGACATTTGCAAACTCAAACATGTAAACTTAAAAAATTGCATTACGACGTAAAAGTTGTAGTCTGCCTTGCAATTTATCGATATACTTTAATAAATGAAAGGACACTGAAAAATGTATACTTTCTGAATCCCTTATGTTTTCCTGTTTTAGTGAAGCAGAAATGCGTTCAGCATTCAAAAATGCGGACAAAAACAAATCTGGCCGGATCGATATTTATGAGTTGAAGGACTTCTTAAAATGTCGAAAGAATGTTGTTCCTATGGAAGTCTGTTCCAAATGGATAATTCAGAATGACAGAAATGGTGATGGAAAGTTGGATTATGAAGAGTTTCTGAGTTTTATCCGGTCAATGCTTTGAAGGAAAGCCTTCAATCATTTTTCTTGTGTCGAAATACTATTGATGCTTGCAGTGTGACACCAGCTTATCAGTCGAAAAGTTTATTAAATCCTATTTCTTTGTTTTTCAAAATCCGCAGACGAAGATGTAATCTATGAGTTAACCCTAAAAGATACACGAAGGTAATACTGGTCAAGAATTTCCTGATGACTAGCGCTTTATGCTCAAATTTTGAAAATATTTGTATACAATACGAAAGTCCGAGCAAATTCCTCCAGCATTTACTAGTTAATCGACAATAAACAAAAGCCAATAGCGAGTGAAGTTCAACAGTGTCGACTTGATAATAAATATCATGAATTCAGATTAAAGCTGAATTATTACGAACAGAAAAATAAATAGATATTCTGTATGCACAGCAAAATAAGCACCAAAAGCATTGTGTGCATCATGCATATTACAAAACGGCCGTTTAGTGCATTTCAGTCACATGATACACACAACTCAGAGAGTTGGTGAGTGATTTCAGGAGTGATTGCCATCTTTTGATTTTCCTGTCCTTCACTTTCATATTATATGGATAGCAACATAGATTATAGTGAAAAGTTTTGTTTCTGTCGTCACAAGACGAAACTCCTTTTCGACTCCATTTTAAATAAATTGCCCATTATCCCACACATAAACAAGATTGCGAAGACACTGAAGATCGACAAGCTCTGACTTTTACATATTCCACCCCCATACACTAGAATCGAGCAACTATGTGTGGAGTAGGTTGCCAGCTACCTGACTTCACTCTAGTTGTCAGGTGGTAGTCGTTTGTGTAGTTGTTATCAACGGAACAGTTAGATTAGGACATTCGATTTGTACGCATATATGATTAATATCTGTGCAGATTAATTCTGAAGCATTCCCTTACGCTAAGTAGATACGAAACTGTGTCAAATATTCCTTTACCTCAGTTTTCAGTGTTTTCATCAACTAGGAGTATATTGCATGTGAGTAGACTGATTTCTGCAGGAACAAGTCTTATGTCATGGAAATTCGAGAGCTAGTGAAGTGATTCGCACTCATAGCATATTCAACTACAAATAGCATTCCATATTTCCTACGCATTAGATGTAATTACTAGCCTGTAGTTTGAACAACAGTACGAGTTTGCCATAAGAAAAAATTAATTTTCTTTACTAGGATCTTGTTTTCAATAAGAATACTTCACCTGCTTAGTGTGACAGTGTAAGAGTCATAAATAAGAAACCCTTAATAATGTACGGAAGATGTGTCTTCTGAGGGTTATGTACATGGTCAAAAAGACCCACCAAAAATAAATGATAACTGTGAGACTCTAATAATTTAGCCATGCTTCTAAAGAATGCAGCCAAATTTACTTTGGTTAAATTTTGCTGTAGTTGTCGGAAGAAATATTTCTCTCACTGCAGATATCTCTTGTTAACTGTCTAAGCAGTCAACAGATGCATAGAAGACATTTCGGCTCCGAAATACCATACCATCCTCTGATGATACCCGGTCATATGTAATCAATCTTCTAACTCCCACAGTTTGCTGAAACAAACGTTTTACTTTAGTCATGATGCAGTTGATTCAAAGAATCGAAGATTTTTATGTTCACAATGACCAGTTAAAAAAAATCAGCAGTTTAAAAACAAAGATTATTGATGAATAGAAATACATACATATATAATAGCAGCAAGCTCTTGGAACTTTTGGGTTTTAGCACTTGTTCCAGGCACAACGTAGCTATGGACCTTACTTGTGGGGTTATAACTTTCGTTTTCTGTTGTTTTACATTCATTCCCATATACAGTAAATTGAGTACCTAAAAAGTTGGAGCGCAGTTTGCCAGCTAAACACTTTGCACCCCGTGATAAATTGGTGACATCACACGATATCACATAGTTGCTAGTTGTTGATCGTTTACGGCGTCTAGCTGCCAACAAGAAAAATTTACGATCTTCCTTTTCGAGATGGAGGTAATACGAAGGATAAATTCCACCGTCGACACCTCGTTTGTCTCGAGTTATACAACAATGCATTGTGACACCCTGCAAAGTTTAAAAACCATATCAAAAATAGGGTTATGTGATTGTTAACACCTTAGAATGCATTTTATGTCCAAAGACGAAATCTCTAGATAACATGAGAACTTTTATAGTCTCAATGAAATCGAAGGCTTCGTTTAATGGAATAGAACTTGAACACTGGTGGTATAGAATAATAATGGTCAACAGAAGCTTTAAACGGACAGTATCTGAGTAAGTTTGAACGTTTGAATGCCTTCTGTTAGCCCAGTCAGACAAAATGCTACAGATTATCGGATACCATGAATCTGAATTCAAGCACATAGGTCAAAGAAGTTGATTGGTCACCATAACATTATCAAATAACCAAATATACAATGACGAATTCAGCTATAAGAAAAAGACGTAAACAGCAAAGAAAAATTTCTTTCTGGCGACTCATTTTCATAGGCCGTACAATCGTAATTATATTTAACAAAAAATTATAAGACCAATCAGATACTGGTGAAATCTGTCCTCGAAAAACGTATTGCGTAATGTTGGGTGTAACCTAGATCGAGTGACTAATTTAAAGTTAGAAAAGAGGCAGAAGTTGGCACGACGTAATAAGTGCGAGATAATGACTGATCAATAAGATTGTGTAGAATTGACAGGAACTAGTAGAAAGGCGATAAAGTGTTTTGATATCAAATCTATGAAAACGCAGTTATGAAAAATAATAACACCAAAACCAAAGCACTTGAAACAAGAGATATACAGAAGGTTGATAAATGAAAAGGAGCTTTGACTACACTTTTGGAAACCTGCTTAAAAGTCGTGCAATTTAGAGGTTTGATAATCTAAGAGTTGAATATGGCATATCCCACATAGATTACTGTCGACTGTCTCCATTTCATCATTGGATATGTGTTAAACCGTGTAATACAACTGACTTTATGGTACAGAATTCTACTTAAAACTGACAGCATTAATTTTCCAACATTATGTATTCTAAAGACGGAGTCAAGCATACTTCAACCACCAGTCAAAGTGGACTTCCACTTTGGGACTTGTAGGTATTTAATAAACCATGAAGGCTGATACTAAAAACACTGACTATAAGCTTACAGAAGTTGGAAAAGTCGGAAATAAAGTCCAGAATCACAAAATTTAAGGAGAAGAAGTGGAACTCATGTTTGCAGACTGGTTAATTTAATTTACTGAGTGTTGGCTCGTTTATACTATGGAAGTCGATTAATAATACTGATATGTATCCACATATATATATATTTATGTGTGTGTGTATGTTGGTCTCTCTTTCTGTTTGCTCGCTTAGTCTGTGACCATTTCACTTGTATGAACTTGTCTCCTTTAACAATGTGTATTCTCCTTATATTATGTTATATATATGAGTTGACAGTCCGTTGCTTGGTGACATATATCCATACATGGTGTTTGTTGACATGTCTGTTATATTTCGCTATGTATATGTGGATCGATACTTCATTATAATTAGCCATTCATGTTAAGACTGTCTAATGATTGTTCACACCCTTGTCACATATATTTCGCTCACACAATTTGTGTGAACTACTTTACTTTACTTACTTACCACTTTGGTGTGATACCACTTTTGCATTCTCCTTGTGTTTGGAAAATAGAAGTATCATCGCAAACCTAGTGGTCTTCTGATTTCCGCCTTCTTGCGTCAGGACCATTAGTTTCTTGACCAGTCCATAACAATAATTTAGCGACGAGTACATAACAATTTGGCGACGGGGAAAACTAGTACATAACAAATACTAATACACCGATTCACATGAGGATACCTATAATCTAATTGCACTGCCGTTTAAATAAGTGTTTATCCAACATTGGAGTGTGATGCTAGTGTATAGCACCAAAAGAGAATACATATCCTAATAGAATATATATATCCAAACCAAGTTCACTTTTAACGGTTAGAATACTATAAAACATATTCCTATCAATAAGAAAATCCGGTAGTCAAAGTAATCTATTCGTAATAATTAAATACACTTACCTGTGGAGCAGGTTTCAGGATAAGTTCATGCAGGTCCTCAGTTGAATCGAAAGCTAAAGGCTGGGTTAATTCATGGAACTCTAAATCCTCGTGTCTCTGAATGATGTTTATTTAAAAAGAAACAAACAATCATATATTCAATATCTTCAAAGTGTATATCACCACAGCATAGTAGATAATAATGAACAGTTGACCTGTAAGTAATCAGTACATAAAAGCATAAATTTCACCAACTAAATGGTCGGATTTATTTTCCCTTGTGTGGTCAATGCAGACTCCTGATTTTCATTTGTTTCTAGTTTTCGTTGCTTTCATAGAAGCACATAACTCTTTTCAAATTGGATAGTTTAGATTTCTTTGTCGTTAACATAATGTCAAGGATAACCTGTTTTGTTTGTTTACATTTTTACCCTGCGTTAAGAAGTATAAAGTAATAATAGTAATTTTAATTGATTAAAGATGCCGATTATAAATTTCAAAGAAACTGATCAGTGAACAAAGAATTTATTGAATTTTCTTCTCTGATCATGTAACCATTAGGTTGTTTAGACGTTCATTTTCATAGGAAAGTTGGCTCATTTGTCTATGACTAAGAATAATCAAACATCTCAAAACAGTTTCAATAGAACGCTTCTTTATACATCCTTATGTAAAAAAAACCCGGAAAAGATTAACGCCTTTCCATGTGAATGTACATAGACTGCTTGCTTAGTCACAGACTAATTATGGATCTCCAGATGCTGCCGAATAATTACAAATTTAAACTTGTGATTCACGTTTAACCACCAAAATTGCAAAAATTATTCAAAACAGTGGGAATGTTTTCCTAACCTACCAATTATTTCATAAAGCTAAATCAATTTTAGTCTGATCGAAATTGGAAAAGAAACAGTGTCATGATTCAGTTGATTACAAAATTTATCAATACTGTAGCTGCAGAACGCAGTAATACTTGGGGGGGGGGGAGGAGCAGAATTATTTATCTGGCGAACGATATACAATGATGGTAAAATACAGAAAGTTTTACGTGTCCTCCTTCTCTCAATTGCCTGTTGTGCTTCCCATGTTATTCCATAAACATCTTTCATTTGCTCTCTCTTCTCAATTTAATCCATCATTCTACTATTCAAGATTAATGGAGGAAACAACACACAGTATACCATTTGTAAATTCTTATCAATAGCACACGCCATACCACTACTACTACTTTCAAGTAAATTTGGAATCAGAAACAATATTCTCTGAGGATAGCAATCTAGTCAATGTAGTTGTGAACTCTTATCGATTAACTTGATTGGATCACGGTTGCCCTGTGTTCAACTTAGCATTGTTGGCCTAATCACGCTGACGTTCAATCGATTATTCCCTCTGTCTGTTAGTCTTTCAGGCTTCGCCTAGTTTACTAGCCCGTTCTAAGGTAAAGCAGAAGTGACCAAACGCGAACTGAGAACTAAAGGAAAACTTAATCTGAGGAAGTCTAGCACCATATCCATTCCGCTACAGAAACAGTAGTAAAGGCTGTTAGTGACCGGGAACCAAAGGTAAGTAAACGTCAGTAGATTCCAGTTGCATCAATTCAAAACAATAGATGGAAGAAAACTGACTCCAGCTGACTCGGAATGTAACAAGAGGAAAAAGCTGTTCAAATGCAAGCTGATTAAAATTAAAAGAGAAACAGTATTAAAATTTAATTTTTCAGAAACTTTACTATTCTGAAATGTCTGAGAACAAAGGTGCTTGTCCATGTTTTTACAATGAATTATCGCTAACTTTCTCTTCTGCACCATCCATCTGACTACTTGATAGGAATGCCACAGTTAGAGTAGGCGACTTTCACCGAGTAGATAGAGAAAAGCACTAATAAGTAAAACCAGTTAAAACTGATTGAGGACAGAAGTACAGAAATTGACAACTGAAGATGCTGTTGTGTACTACTAAGAAAGTTATGAAGGGAAGAATACCTGATAGAATTCGACACAATAAAAATCAGAAAACAACTAGCATAGTGTGAGAAGCTGAATACGAATACAGCATGAAGACGAAAACGACTGGTCTGAACAAAGTGAATATTCAATGTAAGTCTGCCACGTTCCTTGTCACTACTAAAGCCACTTTCCATATTATTAATGTGGCGAAGGCTGTCTCAAGTTCGACGTAGCACTGGTGCCCGACACTCCCGATATTTCTTAGCTTGAAGGAGACACTTGATTCAGTCGATAGATGGGTGTCTTATTGTAGAGCTGTGACATGTCACTCAAGAAAGCAGAAATATGAAAAACCACAGATCTAACTGCGGATGCCTTCACATAGTGAGTAATATTCAGGTCCTCCGTAAAGGGTTAATTGTACTGATGAGATTTTTAATCTTCGTCTACTGGATATTCAGATTATGTGTACTGACGTCTCCATGGATAAAGTTATCGTACATCCGTTTCGCTAATTACTGTCGCTATCATTGGGAATTAAAATCCTTGTAGTTGACAAATTTCGAGTCGGCTTAGGATCAAAAGGAATTGAAAGTCCTCAATACTTGCACAGTAAAGATCATATTTTCTGTAGAGTCTATTGAAACACAAACCCCTTGTAGCGGTAAATAATTCCCCAAAATTATTGACCATAGGAATCATCAGTGAACATTGGATGCTGAAACTTAGTGTTTAAGTCGACTTGTTTAGCCTAAGGCTTTCGGTCAAGCATCCCCTCCATTTGGTACTCCGTCGTGTCACTATCGTGCACGATAATTAGCTAGCTTAGCTTCCGCTTCACTCTGCGATTTGGTTCCGAAATATATATCGTAATTTGGACAACGGATCGAAGTCTTTTGCTCTGTCTTTGGTACGCGAGATTCAAATACGTTAGGAGTTGTTGGTATAAGAGCTTGCGTTTATATACCCAGTACTGTTCGCGAACGTCTATACCATCAACCTCTAAACTGGTGAGCCCAACCGCGAACTTCATCTTCGATAAATACTCAGATAACCCAGGCGAGTTCGTTCCTTTTTGTATTTGTTCTTGTACCATATATTATTCGACATAAGTTTCGTCATGAATAATCTTAGTCCCAAGGTCATTCGTGTCCGCTCAACTCCTAAAAGCATTCAGTTCGTACCATACCGGCCAGATAATGCTGAAACGTGGTTTCAGATAACTGAATCAGATTTTTGTGAGCATGGGATAACCGATCAACGTTCACAGTTCCTTGCAGTTATTCGCGCCCTACCGCGGGAATTCCGCAAGTACGTAACTTTACAGATGTCCAGTCCCGAGGTAAGTAACTCGTACGAGTTGCTCAAAGCATCCCTCCTCAGGAGAAACGTTCTCACAGACCGACAACGTCTGAACGAATTATTTCGTAAAATCGAGTTAGGGGATCAGTCAGCCGTGAGCATGCTGACAAGAATGAGAGAGGTTGTTGGCCGAAATCAGTTTGATGGAGGACTTTTTAGAGAACTGTTCTTATCCAAGTTGCCACAGCCCGTGCAGACTGTACTTGTACTTATAACAGATGGCTTAGCTATTTCTGCAGATAGGACTCTAGAAATAACTAAACGGTCAGTTCCCGAAATATGCTCGGTGACTAAGCAGACTTCGAGTAAGGATCCTGCAATGATAGAGTTATGCAACTCCATTCAGCAGATGTTTAGGTCAAACATGCCTTCTAACTCCTCCGACCGTCGTCCTAAATCTCCTCAACGCCGAAACCCACGTGGTCGATCTAAGTCCAAGCCACGTTCTCTGAAAAACCTTGACTGGTGCTGGTACCATAACACCTATGGCCAAGCAGCGAAGTGATGCCGTAAGCCTTGTAACTTAGGAAATGTCTCAAAGTCTGTGGGAAACTATCCCGCCGGCACGCGTTAGCGGTAGCCGTCGCCGGTGGCACTAGCCGCCTACTTTACATCCATGATGTGATCAGCCAGACTTGATATTTAGTCGACACAGGCGCCGAAGTCAGCGTCCTTCCTGCTACAGCAGCAGATCGACAGAAGGAACCTACCTTCAACTTACAGGCTGCAAATGGAAAACCAATTGCAACGTTTGGTAGGAAATGCGTCTATTTGAACGTAGGTTTACGCAAACCTATTCGGTGGATTTTCCTTCTCGCTGACGTCACAATGCCCATCATTGCCACGGACCTACTTAATCATCATGATTTACTCGTAGACGTCCGCCGAAAACGACTGATTGACAATACTACTAGTCTGTCTATCAAAGGCACCATCTACATAGGCCCCAGCTCGTCACTGGTTAAGATAAAGGCAATCCTTGATCCAACTTTTCAACCTGTTGTTGACAAATATCCGGAACTTAATTGCCCGTCGAACGACCTACCGTGCATAACCAGCAATGTTATGCACCACATCATTACCACAGGACAACCCGTGACATTTAAAGCACGACGACTAGCTCCTGACAAACTGAGAATCGCCAGGAATGAGTTTGACCATATGCTTACCCTTGGCATTATTCGACCTTAGAATAGCTCATGTGCATCCCCGCTTCATATGAACCCAAAAAGGGATAGCAATGATTGGCGACCCACCGATGATTACCGGCGAGTGGATGCCAAAACAACCCCTGGTTGCCACATGCTGCCTCATATACACGACTTGACGGCGACATAATCTGGTGCGGTTATATTCTCTAAAATCGACTTGGTTAAAGCGTATAACCAAATCTCGATGGCAACAGAAGATATTCCGAAAGCGACTACCATTACGCCTTTCGGACTTTTTGAATTTCTACTTATGCAATTCGGTCTCCGGAATGCAGCCTAAACATTCCAACGCTTCATCGACGAAGTATTTCGCGTTCTCGACTTTGTATACGCCCACTGGCTACTAAGGTCGAGGCTATACTGAACTTTCCACAGGCGCAGACGGTGAAAACTCTCCGCACTTTTAACGGCTTGGTAAGTTATTATCGACGCTTTATTCCCAACTGTGCCTCTCCGATTCAGCCATTGATAGACCTTCTCCGATGAAATAACAAGTCTATCGAACTTAACGCGTCTGCTCGAAATGCTTTTCACCAGGCTAAAAAAGCTATTGCGTATGCCACACTTCTGATGTATCAGGATCCAACGGCACCGTTAAGTATCTCAGTCGATGCATCAGACACTGCAATCGGCGCAGTTCTACAACAGCTAGTTAACAAAGAGTGGCAACCACTCACCTTTTTCTCGAGGTGCCTTCAGTTAGCTGAAACCAAGTACAGCATATTCTGCAGAGAACTGGCTATGTATTGTGCTCTACATCACTTTCGACATTCAGTAAAGGGTTACAAATTTATAATTTTTACGGATCACAAGCCTCTGACGTAATCTCTGAACTCAACTTCAGATAAGTATTAACCTAGTGGATTACGACAGCTGGACCACGTTTCACAGTTTACATCAGATATTCGCCATGTATCCGGAGTGAACAACACTGTAGCAGATGCCTTGTCGCGCATTTGTTCCCTCACCCAAATCGACGGCACAGACCTTGTAAAACTGGCTCATCTTTAAAAAGAAGATACCGAACTCCAACATGAGTCGTCGAAAACAACCCTGCAATTAGCCGAGAAACTGTTCTATGTGACATTTCCACGAGTACCCCTCACCTCCATCGGGCCTGAAAGTTACCGCCTTAATGTCTTTAACACGTTGCATGGCTTATCTCACCCAGGTGTTCGAACTACCGTCAGGCTCGTAACTAGTCGGTTTTGTTGTCCTGGTATTAATAAAGAAGTAAGGGAATGGGCGCACACGTGCTTAGCTTGTCAAAAGTGCAAGGTGATAAGACACACCAAAAGCCCTCTTTGCACCTTTCTTATCCCCGATGCTCGTTTTGGACACTTCCATATAGATTTGGTTGGACCCCTCTCAGAATCCCATGGATATACCTATATTTTAACTTGCATCGATCGATTCACGCAACGGCCGGAAAAAGTACTCATCTAGGACGCACCTGCTGAAACGGTCGCACGTGTCTTTGTAGAAAGATGGATCGCAAACTTTGGATGGCCAACTGATTGCGGGCGGCAATTCGAAAGCGGCTTATTCTTCGCCCTGACTAAAATCATAGGTTGTATGCGTTTTCGAGCAACAGCCTACCATTCTCAAAAAAATGGTATGGTAAAACGTCTACACAGACAGTTGAAAGCTGGGTTATCAGCTGCAAAAAATGCACATTGGACTGATTAACTACTGTTAATTCTCCTAGGGACACGAAATATCTTGAAAACTAATGCTGGTTTTACTACCACCGAGCTAGTATATGGCACAACACCACGACTGCCAGGTGAGTTTTTTTCATTTCGCTTCACACCAGTGGCAGATCACCCCTCATACGTCAGCAGTCCTACGAACGCAATGAATTTAGATTAAACTTGCTCCCCTTCGCCCACAGTTCATTGATGTTTTGTTCACCCGTGTTTAACAGCTTCTTCACATATATTTGTTCGTCGTAGACCTCTGGAACCCCCATACGACGGACCTTATAAATTCATTAAACGTATAGATAAATTCTTTGTCTTAGACAAAAAAGGCCGCGAAGACACTGTCATCATCGATCATCTGAAACCGTCTTACTTAGAAGGCAATCCTGTTAGACTAGAGCTGAGCATTCATAATAATACCCATGTCAATGGAAGTGAAAATTGAACGTTGGTTGGTTGACCTTGGTCGCCATTGGTGGGCAACCCGAAGGCATGAGTGGTTCAGTCGTTTACAGGTTCGAAGAAGAGGAAAGAAAACGAATAAAAGTACTTCACATTTTGTACAAAGCATTTGTTTATAGACTATGTACTAACCCTCGATTTTAATTGCCAAATAACACAACTTCCTTCTTACAACCACTGATGTTTTGGAGTTAAAGTCGAGAATCAGTCGTAGTATTTATCTGTTCGGAGCGTCTTCGTGACAATAGAAACTTAGGGTTTAGTTCCTTGACAGTTATTATCCTTCTGTTCATTTTCTGCAGCGCCCTCTGGGGCAGTTTTATTCATCTGTTCGTTTTCTGGAACGACTTCTGGAACTATTCCGGGCGTACTTACTGAGTCTGCAGCCAGTATCTCTTTGGACACGCATTAT